TAGATAACTACAGTCAACCATTAAGCAAATTGATACTGTGGAATAAAAAGTGGTGATTTAAAGTAAGTATATTAGTTAACTAATGACAACAGCCCATAGGTGCTTGGACACCTGCATATTAAAGGAATTCCAAAAGTAACGAATTAGCAAAGAAAAATTCCACCACCTCCTTGCAAGAGATAACTGGGAAGGTATATCAATGGCTCTATTTGAGAGGGAAAACTCTTTCGCCCAGCGAAACATCGAAAGGGGGTGGTACAGCGGTATTATTCTTGACCTACATCTGAATTCTCGTTCATAATAGTTGCGATCCCGTACTAGTCCGGACTAGTCAGAAATAGTCAGAATCAGTCAGATTTTACTGGAAATCGATCACGTACTCGACTCTGTCTATTGAGATGACAAAAAAGAGAGTAAATACGGTTCTCTCTCTGTCAGAAGTTACCAGTTTTAGTCCGAGAATTTTTGCTGGTAAATTCTGGTGAATGTGTCAAACGATCAGCTGTAGTGTGTTTGGCAACGAAATTGTAAACAAAAGAAATTGTATTTTTGGTTATTTACATGTGTGAGCTGGATGTGTTTACATACAAAATAAGCAAAAATTTACAACCAAAGTTACCATTTTTTACTAGAAAGCGATCCCGTACTTTTCAATGCTACTCTCTCGCTCTGAGCAAATCTTAATTATTTGAGAGTTTTACTAGTCCGACTCCGAGGAATACGGGATCGCACCTAATGATTTCTCTATCCCAACTCTCTAGTTACCTCAAAAATATAGACAATTTATGTTCAGGCGATATTGGCTTTGGTAGCCGATTTTTTGGTTTTGTAAATATATCCTCTTTTATGTAGCTAAGGACATAATCGAACAAAATCCGAGCCAAGCGGAAGTATTCACTGAACCTTTTTTTATTGCTATGTAGATGTCGACACACCAAAATCTCAAAAGTCCCCTCGTTTTCACGTTCTTTGAACAGTTCCGACTCCGACTCCCTTTCAGCTTCTTCTTCCGATAACTCCTCTTCTAAAAAAATTAGTAAAGCGACGTCGAGATCCTCCATTTTTATTTAAAATAAATAACTTCCAAGGGATAAAATGCGGAAAACCCAAATTGAAGAAAATTCTGGCATGTGAACGTTACGTTCAACTGGTTTTACATAAAAGCGCCACCGCTAATATCGTTGAGAATAGCGTTCGGTATGGTACGGGCGTAATATTACGGCACCGCTTTTCGAGGAAACCAAAGCTTAACACCTATCAAGAACTTGAAAGAAAGCTTCAATACATTTACACTTTTTACTAAAAGTGTGTTTGCATTAGGTGCGTTCCAGCGATTTTTGGACAAAAACCTGTAGAACTGTCAAAAAGCAAAATATCTCTCACAACAGAGAGCAACAGTCGAAGAACTGAGAAAATATGCTGGAACGCAAAAAACCATTTTTCCAGCAAATATATAAATGCCAGATGTTTATTTACAGAATTATTTACTCAGGCAAAAATTCTTCCACACAACATTTTAATTCTCAAAAGATTTCGTTATTTTGACACAATTGGCTTCGATTCTGCTTAACATATTTTTTATAAATTACATCAGCTCTTTCACTTGTTGTTTACGAATGCAACACTGCTCTTCATTTGACAAATTTCATGAATTTGCGGAAAGAAAAACTTCGGACTAAATCCCGCAACTTCATACTGAGAGTAAGGTTATTTTACTCTCACGAAATGCTCTCAGTTACAGGAAATTACAGGAAATTATTCTGCTGGAACGCTTTTCGCACTAAATCCTGCAAAACCTGCAAATCGTACTGGTGCTGGAACGCCACTAATGTTCAACTTTGCATTCAACTCAGCACAGGGTTGAACGAAAAAAAAGTTGAATGGCTTGAAAATTTTAGTTTGGCTTCCCCCGGGTAGCAAATTAAGGTGGCAATGGGGGTAGGGGCAGTTCTCCTGATTGCAAATATATAGTTTTTAGCTGAAGGAGGCTTATAGTTTTCAAGCTATTTATTGTTAAAGTTTGTAAATTGAGCTAACCTCTCGGCGCTATTTCACACAATAAACACTATATTTACGTCCACACTTCAGTGTACATCAGTGTAAAACACCACACAATGAAATATAAACATATTTCTTACATTTATTATGTATTTTTAGTAAACTAAGTATGTTTCTAAAATCATCACGCACTTCAAGGTTTCACACCGACATTCGAAGAGTGCTGCCACTTCTAAGAAAATAACAATAAAAGAGAACAGTTTTTATCTTACCCGTTTATACCAGCCACAGTACTTTTGCACAGAACACCCTTCTGCGTAGGCGGCCTGGGTCCGCGCTTAGGGATTATAACCCTCACAAAGTAGAATTCTCTTTCTGTGTTGCGAAGAAAAATGGCTGAACACCTTTTGCAGAGAACACCTTTCTGCGTAGGCGGCCTGCGGCCGCGCTTAGGGATTATAGCCCTCACAAAGTAGAAGTCTCTTTCTGTGTTGCGAAGAAAAGAGGCTGAACACATTTTGCAGAGAACACATTTCTGCGTAGGCGGCCTGCGGCCGCGCTTAGAGATTATAACCTCACAAAAGAGAATTCTCTTTCTGTGTTGCTGAACACCTTTCCCGCAAGATGGCGCGGGAGTTGAGTTATTTATAAAAGTTGTATTTATGAACCGATTTCGTTCAAATTCAAAATGTAAGCTACCTACTTGATGAAAAAGCATTTGCGAAAAATAGGCCTGCTAGGTGGTGCTGGAATTGAGTTATTTATAAAAGCCGTATTTATGAACCGATTTTGTCAAAGCATTTTCGAAACGTGCGTAGGAGGCCTGCGGCCGCGCTTAGGGTTTATAACCTTCACAAAGTAGAATTCTCTTTCTGTGCTGCGAAGAAAAGGGGCTGATCACCATTCTGCGTAGGGATTATAACCCTCACTAATTAGCAGTAAATATCTTAAAAACTATAAGTGTTGTGTTAAGTCAAAAAAAGTTTTTAATGGGGAATATGACCCCACAACCTCCTTCATTACTAATTTAACGCTGAAAACGATAAAAGTAAGATGAAAACTATTCTCTTTTATTAGGTTTGTTCCACACGAGCCCGCGGGTACCCGCGGGTTCCCAAAACAGCCCAGAAAGGATACCTCACGCTAGAAAAATGGGTAAGAGATAGCGAATACGTTCCACTTTTGGATCGTAAATTTCTTCTTCTTTGTGCACGAAACAGTCCGAACTTTTTTTCCGGGCACAAATGTACAAAAGGGCAATTTGAAATAGTAGCTGTTGTTGTTTAAATCCGAAAGCAAATTTTATAAAACGCAAAATTGAAAAATACCACAGAATTTTCAGAAAATGTATTTATTTTGTAATTTCATTAGCCAGATAAGATAAATACACGTAAAATCATTGGCGCGTATTCATAGTCTAGCACGAAGTCGAAACTAACAAAGTTGCAACTTAAATTTAAGTACCAACTTAAAATTTACCTCTATTCATAGTCGCATTTCAGACTTCTACTAAGTAGTTTCGACTTAGTTTACGATATAGCAAAATTAGTGTGAAAATGTATCGATTTTTCTTTACGATATTTTGGAAAAATTACATTTTTATTAAATAATGTCAAGTTAGATTATCCGTTTATGTAATTTTTATTTTCATTGCATGATTATGCAAAAGAAGAAGGTATCATTTTCTTGTTAATTGTGTGAAATAGCCAGAACAACCGCAATGATGTGAAGTCGATGTTTATCGAAAGCATGCTGTGAAACATACAAATAGTAGATATCTAAATGTTATGGGCTGTTTTTGCTTATGCAGCGTTTCTGCTGCATTTAAAATGCAACATTTAGCACTTTCGAACATATGTTTTGCGTTCATGCTACCGCATTTAGCAAATGTACTTTTACGCGAGTTCGAAATCGTATGCTTTTGACAAACAGCCGTGTTCCAGTCGCTTATTCAGATCCGTATCTATTACGATCAATTCTCACGCAGAAGATAATGTGTAAAAAACCCTACTGAAAAGGAAAAAAATAAATTTGAAAGCAAAAATTCAATACAAAAACTTGAATTGTTTTAACCATAACCGAACATTTGTTTGTGTATATATTCGTTTGTCAGTGCTGTCAATTAAAATTTCCTCACTTAATTAGAAAACAAAACAAACAGAGTTGATCACAAATTGATCCAGATTTCTATCAGCATCACATCGATGTTAAATTTGCGTAACTTTTCGTTATCCAAATTGTTGATGCGGCTGTAGCAGTGTGTTTGTACCCTTAGGTTGATGCGGCTGTAACAGTGTGTTTGTACCTTTATGTCATTGTATTTTATCGAAAATGTTGTAATCCCATCACTAACCATAATCAAAACCAAAAGAACGTAGAAAGGTTCTAGAAGGAAATTGATTGTGGTCCTGGTGATGGGAGCTTAGGAGCGCACAAAAGCGTAAGTTGATTTATTTATGATTTAAAAACTATTATATCTTTATTGTACAAATTGAACAGGAAATAAAGCACAATTCATGTCAGCATACACATCAAAATTGGCGTGAGCTTTATTTTATACTCCTCGGACCAGGACGCAATCAACAATCTTTATTTCGCTTTTTTATGGGTTGGCGAACAACCAGAGTTTTGCCGCATTACAAGCTTAATATTTTAATAGTTCGTCTTAATGCCTGAAAGTTGTGGCTAGTAATAAGTAAGCGATTTGAGAGCGCACCGTTTTGTATGTACATGCGCTAAATTCCTTCAAGATCGGATGAAATTGAATCGAAATTGATCGGAGCACGTGCCATAAACCAAGTAAGCTGCAGATCGAGGTGTGGCTGTGATCAAACCAAGGAAGCTAATTGGTAAGTGTCTTAAAGAACTGATTGGGTGAGAGTTAGTAGTTAGTGGTGTGCGTCGTAGTGTGGTATAGAACATAACCTAGCGAAATCGCGCCAAAATTGTAAAAAGCGCGGCTAAAAATCTCTTTCGAATATTCGTGGCGACCATTTTGTATCATGCCGACAACACGTTCCGGGGCAAGTAAAGAGGCTAGTGTGAATGAAGGAGATAGCGATAACGAAGAGTTTGAAGAAACGATTCTTCAGCAGCCTACAGCAAATATGGCTGGGCAACAATCGCTCGAAATTCGGCTAACTGAGATTTTGCGGCAAGTTCAAAGCATTCAAGAAGAGCTTCGGCAAAGTAGGCAGGTACAGGCGAATGCGGCTAATGATAATGGAATTATTACAACAGCATCCAGCGTAGTAGGTCATTCGCAAGGTAGTTCACAACTAGGATTAACACGCAAGCTATATGATTTGCCAGAGTTTGAAGGGCGTCCAGAGGACTGGCCCATGTTTAGGGAAACCTTTTTAATGACCACTGCAGAGTACCAATATACTGATACACAGAATATGATTCGGTTACAAAAGGCAGTTAAAGGAAAGGCTAGGGAAACTATCGAGTGTCTGTTAATCCATAGTAGGAACGTGTCGCAAATTATGAAGGTTTTGCAGGAGCGTTTTGGGAAGCCGGAATTGCTGGTAAAGAGTCAGATAAATAAAATAAGAAATGTGGCGCCGATCTCAGAGAGTCGCATCGAACAGCTTGTGGGATTTGCGACTAAGGTGCAAAATCTGTCTTCGTTCCTGCAGGCAGCTGATTGCGACCACCACTTGTCTAATCCGACGCTAATGGAAGAACTCCTGTTGAAGCTGCCCATACAGAGACGCATCGAATGGGCACGTTACGCTTCGTCAATTGTACCGCGACCAACAATCTGCCATTTTAGTGATTGGTTACAGGAGTTGTCATCAATGGTGAACTCGGCCTGCGTATACTCTAGCTTAGAACCGCGACAAAATAGACCCGAAGGGCGTTCAAGATTTTTCCACGCCAACGAGGCTAGTGGTGAAAATTCTGGGCGAATTAGGTGTGAGGCATGTGCAGATAGGCACGCGATTACTAAGTGCAGAAGATTCCTGAACATGGAGCACGGGGATAGATGGCGCCTAGTTCGTCGCAAAAAGCTTTGTTTTAATTGTCTAAAGGGAAGTCATCGCAGCAACAACTGTGGTGAAGAACATGAGTGCGGTGACAGGCACTGTACAAAAAGGTGGCATGTACTTCTTCACGAGTCCAGTGGCAGAGCACAACAGTGGCAGTCAGCGCCACCGCAGCAAGCGTCGCAGCCGACTTCGCGGTACGCGATACAGCAAACGTTGGCATCGACAGCAGAACAGGCGGTTCAGCAGAAACGGGCAGCGCAAGAAGCAGTACAGCAAGTTTTTACAAATACGGTAGCACCCAGTCCCGCCCCGAAATTGTTATTTAAGATACTTCCAGTGGTATTGTACGCGCATGGTAGAAAAGTCAATAGCTACGCGTTCTTCGACGAAGGGTCCGCCATATCCTTAATGAACCGCGATCTGGCAACCCGCCTTGAACTGCAGGGAAGCAGTGATAACTTGACCCTGCAGTGGTTTGGCAGCACGACCGTTACGGAGCGTTCCTGTAGAGTAGACGTTCACATCTCCGGCGTTGGGCGTAACAGCAGCAAATTTCTGATGCGTGATGTTCGCACGGTTGAAAATCTTCAGTTGCCAATGCAGTCGCTTAGCCTGGCAGATCTTCATTGTAAATATCAACACTTACCGATCCTACAATATAACGATGCTGTACCAGAACTATTGATAGGTTTAGACAACGCACATCTTGGCATTCCGAAGCGAACAGCATACGACGGTAGAAGAGGACACGCAGTAGTGCTGACGAAGCTTGGATGGGTTATTTATGGCACGGCGGGCCCCCTAGCTCCTTACTCGCGGTATCACACATTGTTTGCACAAGTCGGCGAGACGGAGAATATGACCGACAACATGGAAAATCTCGTGAACGATTTCATAACTAATGAGAACATGGGCGTAAGTACGGCGAAGCAGGTCGAAGCTAAAGACTTGTTAAGAGCGAAGAAATTATTGGAAGAAACCACTAAGCGCGACGGGATTCGATTCGAAACGGGTTTGCTGTGGAAGCGAGACGACGTGGAGTTGCCGGAGAGCCGAAAGATGGCCGAAAATCGATTTTTTGCGTTAGAAAGGAAGTTCAAGAAGAACGACAACCTGAAGAAAGCATACGCTGGAATCATTTCTGAATATCTGGCAAAGGGCTATTGCCGGATGCTGAGTAAGGAGGAAGCCGCAACAATAAGCAAGCGGACTTGGTACCTGCCTCACTTTGGTGTGTTTAACCCTAATAAACCAGGGAAACTTAGGCTAGTTTTTGATGCGGCGGCGGAGTCACGAGGCACTTCACTCAACTCCATGTTACTCAGTGGGCCAGACTTATCACAGTCTCTGGCAAGCGTCCTGATGAGAAACCGGTTGGAGTGTGCGCTGATATTGTGGAAATGTTCCACCAAGTGAAGATTCGACACGAAGATTTGGCATCGCAACGCTTTTTATGGAGATTTGATCCCGGAGCGCCAATCGAAGAATACGTGATGAATGTGATGGTATTCGGAGCTACTTGTTCGCCCTGCTCAGCGCAGTTCGTCAAGAATAAAAACGCAGAAGACTTTAAAGAACAGTTTCCAGAGGCTGTAGCGGCGATCGTAAACAATCATTACGTAGATGATTTTGTGCATTGTTTCTCCAGTGAGGATGAGGCCTTTACGGTGACAAATCAGGTTGTCCGCATTCATAAGCGCGGAGGTTTTGAACTAAAAAGATTCGTATCGAACTCGCAACTTATAAATAGCTTAAATGAAGAACAGTTACCATTACATTATTTAAATCTTGACAGAGAAAATGCCGAATTGTTCCAGAAGGTGCTCGGAATGTTTTGGAAAACCGAAAGAGACGTTTTCAAGTTTGTTCTATCCTTAGGGAAGGTGAATCAGGACGTGTTAAAGGAGAAGCGGAAGCCAACAAAACGAGAAGTCCTCAGTACAACGATGTCCATCTTCGATCCGTTTGGAATGGCAGCAGAATATTCCCTGGAAGCTAAGTTAATCCTGCAAGAAATTTGGCGGGAGCGGATAGATTGGGATGACAGCATATCCGACGCGGTGTACATGAGCTGGAAGAAGTGGCTTCGAATGTTACGAGATCTGGAGAGTATAAGTATACCACGCTGCTACGGAGCTACATTTGCTAAGGGACCCGTCGAACTACACGTGTTTGCGGACGCGAGCGAGGCAGCATACGCAACTGTTGCATACTGGAGACTTGTAGACGATCACGGCAATATCCGACTGGGTTTCATCGCTGGTAAAACTAAGTGTGCTCCAATTAAGCTGGTATCTGTTCCTCGTCTCGAATTGCAATCAGCAGTGCTCGCTACGCGCCTCAAAAATAGTATTATTGCAAGTCACGACAAGATCCCAAGTAGGGTTACGATGTGGTCTGACTCAAAAACAGTATTGTCTTGGTTAAAATCGGACCATCGGCGTTACAAGCCCTACGTAGCGCATCGGGTAAACGAAATTTTGGATGGCAGTGAAATTAATGAATGGCGATGGGTACCCAGCGCACTTAACCCAGCTGACTTCGGAACGCGTCCCAGAGATGGAAAGCGCGTGTCATTCTGGATCACAGGTCCGAGCTTTTTACAGCAAAACGAGAACAACTGGCCGCCAAATGCATCTTGTGAACCTACAGACGTTGAGCTGCGCAACAAATTCACGATATTAATAATTAATACTAATACTTCATTTTTTAAGAGATTTTCGTCCTTCAACCGACTGAGAAGAGTAGTTAGCTGGATGTTGCGATTTCGGGAAAACTGTCTCAAGACAAAAGCGACACGCGTTTATGACGACTTGAAGGTGTTCGAGTTGCAAAAAGCCGAAACAGTAGTCTTACGATCAACGCAGATGGAAGAGTTTGCGGATGAATACCATGCCCTGCGCATGGGCAAGCGGATAGAGAAGGGTAGCGCGTTGTGGAAGCTCAGTCCCGTTATGGATGCGGAGGGCGTCATAAGACTGGGTGGTCGAATAGACGCTGCCACCACGATTTCATCATGTACGAGACGCCCGATAATCCTAGCTAAGCGATGCTACGTAACGGAGTTGCTGATAGATCATTACCATCGCTCCTGGAAACACCAAAACGAATCCACAATAATTGCCGAAATACGACGCAAGTACTGGATCCCTAATATAAGGGTCGAAGTGCGTCGCGCCACTAAAAGATGCCAGTTTTGCGTCAATGCAAGAGGCGTTCCAGATCAACCAGAAATGGGCCAATTGCCAGTAGACCGGCTGACACCATTCGTTAGGCCTTTCACATACACCGGCTTAGACTACATGGGACCGTTCAACGTTGTCATCGGTAGGCGAAACGAGAAGCGCTGGATCGCCCTCTTTACTTGCCTAACAACGAGAGCGATACATTTGGAAATGGCGAAGGACCTCTCCACCGACACCTGCCTGTTATGTATCAGGAACTTCATGTGTAGGCGTGGAACTCCTGTGCGTATCCGTTCGGACAACGGTACGAACCTCGTTGGTGCTGACAGGGAGCTTAAACGACAGCTTATGGAGTTTAATAATGGCAAAATAGCAAATGCGCTTGCGAATAAAAACATTGACTGGGTTTTCAATTGCCCGTTGAACCCGCACGCTGGAGGATGCTGGGAACGTTTAGTACGCTGCGTCAAAAGAGCTATGGGTCATGCAGTACATAACGAAAGTATTCAAGAACACGTCCTATACAGTCTCATGTGTGAGGCGGAGAACATCGTTAATTCCCGACCGTTGACACACATCCCACTAGACGCACCCACTGATGAACCGCTAACTCCCAATCATTTTCTTTTAGGTACCCCAAACGCTGAGCAAAACGCCACATCCGAATGAAGAGCAGTTCCAAGCCACTCGCAAACAATGGCGTAAGGCCCAACAGATGCAATACCGATTCTGGAAGAGATGGGTAGATGAATACCTTCCTGACCTGACCAGGAGGACGAAATGGTACCAGCCAGTGAAGCCTTTGGCCGTAGGCGACGTAGTCCTCATATGCGATAGCGGTGTTCATCGAACGAAGTGGCTTATGGGGCGAATAATGGAAGTATTTCCGGGCAAAGATGAACAAGTCAGAGCTGCACGGGTCCAGACTCAGGTGGGCATCTTTAAGCGACCAGCCTGTATGTTAGCAAAACTCGAAGTTGGTGAATCTAGCTAGATTCACGGAGGCGGGGATGTTGATGCGGCTGTAGCAGTGTGTTTGTACCCTTAGGTTGATGCGGCTGTAACAGTGTGTTTGTACCTTTATGTCATTGTATTTTATCGAAAATGTTGTAATCCCATCACTAACCATAATCAAAACCAAAAGAACGTAGAAAGGTTCTAGAAGGAAATTGATTGTGGTCCTGGTGATGGGGGCTTAGGAGCGCACAAAAGCGTAAGTTGATTTATTTATGATTTAAAAACTATTATATCTTTATTGTACAAATTGAACAGGAAATAAAGCACAATTCATGTCAGCATACACATCAAAATTGGCGTGAGCTTTATTTTATACTCCTCGGACCAGGACGCAATCAACACAAATAATGTAAAATAATAAATGAAATCTAGATCGGCGATCACTGAAACGCAGCTAGCCACTGTATACGCGAAAAAGCAATGTTGCCACTTTTTCTCATTAAACCATGTTCGAATCGTGGAAATTTTGGAAGATCACAGCGTTGCTTTTAGCATTTATATTCTTAATGCAAAAATGGTGTTGCATTTAGTTGCATTCAGGTGACGAATTTTGTATGGATAAATGTACATTTAGCGCATTTAGCTCTAAAAAAAGAAAAAGTGGCAACATTGCATTTTCGAGTATACAGTGGCTAGCTGCGTTTCAGTGATCGCCGGTCGAGATTCCATTTATTATTTTACATTATTTGGATAAAGAAAAGTTAAGAAAATTCAATATCGATGTGATGCTGATAGAAATATGGATCAATTTGTGATCAATTCTGTTTGTTTTGTTTCCTAATTAAGGGAGGAAATTTTAATTGACAGCACCGACAAATGAATATATACATAAACAAATGGTCGGTCATGGTTAAAACAATTCAAATTTTTGTATTGAGGTTTTGGTTAAAAATTTATTTTTTCCTTTTCAGTAGGGATTTTGCACATTATCTTCTGCGTGAGAATTGATCGTAATAGATACGGATCTGAATAATGCAGCGTTTTTGCTGCATTAAAAATGCAACATTTAGCACTTGCGAACATATGTTTTCGAAGAGCGTTCATGCTATAGCATTTAGCAAATGTACATTTACGCGAGTTCGAAATCGTATGCTTTTGACAAACAGCCGTGTTCCAGTCGCTTATTCAGATCCGTATCTATTACGATCAATTCTCACG